ATACCCACACAGACACAAAAACACAGATACAGACACACACACACACTGATACACAAACATACAAACACACACTTTCACAAGCATACACATATACATCAATACACAATACCCAATACACACGCGTGTACACCCTAACACACACACACACACACACACTGATACACAAACACAAACACGCACACACATACACAAACACACAGACACTGACACACACCTATAAACAAACACATGCACACACGTACACACGATAGACAAACACACACAGACACACATACACACTGATACACAAACACACACACTGATACACAAACACACACACTGATACACAAATACACACATGCACACACACACTGATACAAAACACACACACACACACTGATGCACAAACACACACTCGCACACACATACATAGCTATAAACAAACACACACAGACACACACACACATTCAGACAGACACTCACACACACTGATACACAAACACACACACGCACACACAAACACACTGATACAAAAACACACACACACACACACACTGATGCACAAACACACACTCGCACACGCATACATAGCTATAAACATACACACACAGACACACAAACACAGATACAGACACACACACACACTGATACACAAACATACAAACACACACTTTCACAAGCATACACATATACATCAATACACAATACCCAATACACACGTGTGTACACCCTAACACACACACACACAGACACACACACGTACACAGGCACATACATACACAACGATACACAAGACACTCACACACACACACACACACACACACACACAACAGTACAGAAACACACATACACACTAATAAACAAACATTACTTTTGTCCCTTTGTACGTGTCATCAGAGGGAGAAAGCTCCGCCCACTAGTGACCATCTCTCCCTCATTAGAATAAGACGATAGTCTTTCTTTTAAATCTGCCACTATGCTGACTCATAGGTATTTGTAGCTCCGCCCTCTTCTGAAAAGAGCACAATCTCATTTGCATTTAAAGTGACAGTCACCAAACGGGTGCAATTATATGATCAAAGCCTAAAAGGGGCAGTTTCAAAGAGTTATAAAGCATTATTTGTGTTGTATTTGGAGCTGAAACTTCACATACACACTCTAGGGACATCAGAGACTTAATTTATCTTGTTAAAAGGGGCATAATAGGACCCTTTTAAAGAATGCCCTAGCAATCCA